CATGGTGGGGTGTGGTGAGGGTTGCAGGTGACATGTCAGGTGCCTTGGCCTCACTGAATCCCTCGCCCTGGGGCTGTGACTGTGGCCTCTCTCCTCCCACCCCAGTCCGAGGATGAATGTGCACTCGATTTGGACCTCGTGACTGATCTGGTTCTGCACATTGATGCCCGCGGGGAGCCAGGTGGGTGCTCCCCCCTCTGCCCTGTGTCCTCCCTGACCTCATGTGCTGGGAGCAACTGCTCATGCCTGCAGGGCCCTTTACAGGTGGGATCCTCTGCTTCCTGCCTGGTTGGCAGGAGATCAAAGGGGTGCAGCAGCGCCTGCAAGAGGCCCTGGGCATGCACGAGAGCAAGTACCTCATCCTGCCAGGTGAGAGCCATGTGCTGGGCTTCATGGCCCTAGATGCTACTCTTGCCCTCTGTCCTGGGGACTGACCCAACTGGGACTCAAGGGGCCAGGGTTTCTGACCAGACTGCACTACTTTTTGCTGGCTTTGCAACCTTTCCTGAGCTTATTGACCTGGGCCTCACTTTCGTGAAATCTTGCCCTGCCTTCATCATGGGAGGTTCTGGCGGAGCAGTGTCCATAACCAGTGTGTGCTTGCTGCCCACCAGTGCACTCCAACATCCCCATGATGGACCAGAAGGCCATATTCCAGCAGCCACCAGTGGGGGTGCGCAAGATCGTCTTGGCCACCAATATCGCTGAGACCTCCATCACGATCAATGACATTGTGCACGTGGTGGACAGCGGTCTGCACAAGGAGGAACGCTATGACCTGAAGACCAAGGTGGCACCTATCTCTTAAGCCCAGCCAGTCCCTGGGGGAAGAATTCCAAGTTCCAAGGTGGCCCCCAGCCTAGATCAGCCTTGGACCTGCTGTGTGTCTGGAGAAGGCCACACATCTGGGGTCTCTGAGTCCCTGCTGGGGGAGGGGGACTGTTGAGGGTTAAGTGAGGTGACAGCCAGGCACGGGGGAACAGTGAGGAAGGTTTGTGGCATCTGTATTGCCACTCACCTGCCCCCTCCCCAGGTGTCCTGCCTGGAGACGGTATGGGTGTCACGAGCCAATGTGATCCAGCGCCGGGGCCGAGCAGGCCGCTGCCAGTCAGGCTTTGCTTACCACCTGTTCCCGCGGAGCCGGCTGGAGAAAATGGTCCCATTCCAAGTGCCGGAGATCCTGCGCACACCCCTCGAGAACCTGGTGCTGCAAGCCAAGATCCACATGCCTGAGAAGACGGTATGGCGCGTGTGGTGGGGCAGGCTGGCCTTTGGAGTGGCAGGTGGGATGCAGGCTCGGGTTCTGCTGTGTTCCTGCTACAGGCGGTGGAGTTCCTCTCCAAGGCCGTGGACAGTCCAAACATCAAGGCAGTGGACGAGGCTGTGATCTTGCTCCAGGAGATCGGTGAGTGGGCAGGTCCAGCTGGGCTGCAGAGTGGCTGTCAAGGGTGGGCCTGACAGCTGAGCTGTTGCAGGGGTGCTGGACCAGCGTGAGTACCTGACCACCCTGGGGCAGCGCCTGGCCCACATCTCCACTGATCCCCGGCTGGCCAAGGCCATAGTGTTGGCCGCTATCTTCCGTTGCCTGCACCCGCTGCTAGTGGTCGTTTCCTGCCTCACCCGGGACCCCTTCAGCAGCAGCCTGCAGAACCGAGCGGAGGTGGACAAGGTCAGACCAGTCCCTCCCCACGGCCCTTTGGCACTCCCTTGCACCCCTCCACCACCTCCTGTCCTGAGGTAGCCTCTTGTAGCCCCTCCTGTGACCCTCCTGCCCCTCCCAGGTGAAGGCACTGTTGAGCCACGACAGCGGCAGTGACCACCTGGCCTTCGTACGGGCTGTAGCCGGCTGGGAGGAGGTGCTGCGCTGGCAGGACCGCAGCTCCCGTGAGAACTACCTGGAGGAGAACCTGCTCTATGCACCCAGCCTGCGCTTCATCCATGGTCAGTGGGGCCCATGCCTGGTCTCCAGTCCCTCTCCCCCTTCCACCCCCGCTGGGCTTCTGTCCTGCCCTGCCTATGGATGGGGAGGGGGCCCGGGTTCACCAGACTTTGCCCCCCCAGGACTCATCAAGCAGTTCTCCGAGAACATTTATGAGGCTTTCCTGGTGGGGAAGCCCTCGGACTGCACCCTGGCCTCAGCCCAGTGCAACGAGTACAGTGAGGAAGAGGAGCTGGTGAAGGGCGTGCTGATGGCTGGTCTCTACCCCAACCTTATCCAGGTGCTGTCTTGGGTAGGGGCTGACTAGGCCCCAGCCTCCTTCCCTATCCCTGGCTCCGTGCTTAGCTCCACCCTTTTCTGTTATCCCTACAGGTGAGGCAGGGCAAGGTGACCCGGCAGGGCAAGTTCAAGCCCAACAGTGTCACGTACAGGACCAAATCAGGCAACATCTTGCTGCACAAGTCGACCATTAACAGGTGGGTGGGGGCAGGCAAAGCAGGGCTGAGCAGCTAGGATGGGCCAGAATGGTGGACTCACCCAGCCCTTTATTCCTCAGGGAGGCCACACGGCTACGGAGCCGATGGCTGACATACTTCATGGCTGTCAAATCCAACGGCAGTGTCTTTGTCCGGGACTCCTCCCAGGTGCACCCACTAGCTGTGCTGCTACTGACCGATGGGGACGTCCACATCCGTGGTGGGTACCTGTGCACCTCCCATCCCACTTAACTGCTCCAGTTGGGCTGGGCTGGCCTCACCTTGGCTCCCGGTCTTGTCTTTTCCCCTAGATGATGGGCGCCGGGCCACCATCTCACTGAGTGACAGTGACCTGCTGAGGTTGGAGGGTGACTCGCGCACCGTGCGGCTGCTGAGGGAGCTGCGCAGGGCCCTGGGCCGCATGGTGGAACGGAGCCTGCGCAGTGAGCTGGCCGCACTGCCCCTCGAGGTGCAGCAGGAGCACGGGCAGCTGCTGGCCCTGCTGGCAGAGCTGCTGCGTGGGCCCTGTGGCAGCTTTGATGTGCGCAAGTTGGCCGATGACTGAGCCCTTCATCTGCTGGGGCTATGTACAGAGTGCAAATGTTTATTTAAAATAAAGTTCTATTTATCCCTTGTGAGCATTGCTATCCACTGGGGGCTCCTCCCTCGGGGCCTCAGCACCCTGAGTTGGGACAGCAAGTGTTGAGCCAGCCCCTTCCTGGGTCTCCTTCCCTGAGGCACTGGTCCAGTCTGGCTGCCACCTCCTAGCCTAGGAAGCTGGGACCGTTCCACAGGCAGGCACAGCTCTCCGGGACCTTAACCCTCAGGGGCCTCAAGCTGTCCTTCCCCTGGTCACATCCGCATGTTCACAGAGGAGGGGCTGCAGTCACTGAGGCTGCACAATGCACACTGACCCCTCGATGCAGGAGGACAAGGTGGCGGCAGAGTCATGGGTGCTGGAGGTGAAGACAACCAGGACATACAGACGACAGGGCCTGCGTGATGGGACATCACAAGCTTTATTTACTCTTGAAATCGTTACAACAGAATCACAGACATACGTAATGGCTAAGCCATGAGCAAATCAGGCAGTACAGAGATGTCCCACCCACGGATGGCTGCAGGGTAGTACACAGCACGGGCCTCTGGTCCTCACCTGTCAGGTCAGCCACCTCAGCCTCTCTGGCTCATGGGACCCTTCGAGGGAGCTGTGGCCAGGTCACCCGAGAGCTCTCCACTTAGGTCACACCCCCCACCCCAACCCATGGCCAGCTTCATCTTGACTCCCTCTTGCTGACAAAACATGGCCTGCCCTCCCTGCATAGTGGAGCCGCTGGAGACAGGCTGGCTCTGGAAGCTCTCTCTCTCAGACCTTGGTGGCAAGCCTCCCGTGGAAAGTGCTACCGCAGAAATGGGGAGACCAGCCCCACCCAGATGCTCTCCCTCTACATGAAGACCAAATCTGAACCTACGTCAACAGCCCCTACCTTCTCAGCCCTGAAGGACAGGATCCGAGGGCAGGAGGGCGAGGCACCAGATCTGTACCGCAAAAAGTGCCTTCGAGAGAAGCCCTAAACTCCCAGGCCATCACTACAAACAGGTAGGTTTTAATTCTTTATTAGAAACCATGCAAACTTTAATACAAAAAAATACAAGTGCAGTAAGAATCTTCGTGTCAATATGATTCCCGGGATTTCTCCTCATTGCATCCATCCCAAGGGCGGGCCTAGGAGACACCCCTCCGCAGGCTGGCCTCGCCTCGCCTCCCTCTCCTCTCCAGTCAGGCTATAAGGGACGTGGGATGACCTCAGTCTCATGCCTATATTTTTAAATTTCCGGACCTGATTCCCCAATACCCACGTGAGTTCTGGGCATCTTGGGCTCCCTGGGAGCTGAGGGCTCAAGTGTCCTAGGCCTGCAAACCTGGAGAATTTTGACTCCATAGCCCTTCCTAGCACTGACCTGTATTTCCCACCAGATCCCAGGAATAAGACAGAGATGCCAAAACCAGCCTCTTGGTTAGAAAAGAAAAGCAGCATACACGCAAAATGCCAGAACAACCAGTCCACACTCCGAGTAGTCCCTAGCGTGCCCTACCTGCTCACCTGGCCACACCCCCACACATCACCCACCTTGTCCACACCACCTCCAGGGCTCCGAGCTGCCAGGCCCCCAGTGCCTGACCTCCTGGCTGGAGGCTTAAGATCTCCCCTCCCTGTTTCCTTTAACACCTGCTGAGGACTTTCCTTTAGACATGACGTCAGCCTGCAAAACTACTCCACCAGTTTTTAGGTTATTAAAAAAGGATAAAACAAGAAAAAAAAAAGGTATGACAGCAGCTAGATAGGTGTGGGAGGCGACGGGGGACAGGCAGCACTGACCCCTAACTAACTTGGGGCAGGGTAGCAAGAGATGTGTGGCACCACCCACATGGTGGGCACCATTGTGGGGGTAAGAGAGGCAGTGGCTTGGGGAGCTCCAGGGGACACAGGGCCAGGCCATCACGTGCATATTCCACTCTTCCTTCCCTCCAGGTTGACCCAGCAAGGAAGGAGGGTATGTCAGTTTCTCTTGGGTTTGGTCCAAAAAAAAAAAAACCCAAACAGAGAGGAGGTTGGAATCTGGTTCCTTCCTCTTAGATTCCCCCAAGATCTCAAGTTAGCCTACCCTACCCCACTCTCCTCCCACGCTCCCCCTGGAGCAGTGAAGTGGTGATGGGCCAGGAGCAAAGCAAGGAGCTGGGCATGAGGCGGGGAGCACAAGGAGGGATGAGGGCGACTGCTGCTGCCCTAGGCGAGCGAGGCAGGTGGGAGGGAAGGAGGGCCCTAGAGGGCTGCCCAGCACCCAAGTGGTCACAGGTCTAGTGGGCGGCCTGAGGGAGGGAGCCAAAGGCCCGGGTGCTTGAGCTGGGGCCAACAAAGAAGTGGGGGGGGCGGGAAACAATGTCGGCCCCGTGGTCGGTGCGGGCCCTGGCGTTTTCCCGGAACGTCAGCCTGTAGGTCTCAATCTGCAGTGACACGGGAGGAGGGAAGGGAGAGGGTAACGAAGGAGACAAGAGGGGTAACAAAGGGGACGGAAGACGAGACCAGAATGTCATCATTAGATGCCTGGAAAATAAAAGGTTGCTTCGTTAAAATTTAGGCCACACACTAGTCAAAAAACAAAGGAGTTTCAATTTGCAGCCAGTGGCAGGGTCCCTGGCTGGCCCTCAGGCCAAGCCCAGCCACTTACTTGTCTCCTGGATCTGGCAGTCCAAGGTCTGGGCCTCCCTTTGGTCACCACCCCCTGCCAGGGCGGTGTGGCCACTGAGGCCACTGGCTGAAGTGGGGGCGCCAGCATCAGGCGCTGCCTCAGGGATGGCCAGCTCCTCCCCAGCGGGGGGGCCCGGACACGGAGCGGCCTCGCTGCCACCGCCCTCAGTCTACAATGAAACAGTGGGGGAGACAGTGCAGGGTCAGTCCGAGAGGGAGTGGGATGGAGTGATGGTGGTGGGTTTTACAGGCAGCCCCACCCCACTGCCCCTGCCCCCTCTAAATAAGGTGCAGTCGTCTAGAGACTTGAGGCCACCTGCGCCCCACCCGCCCTGTGAGAGGGGCTCCTGGCAGGCGGCCTGGTGCAGGGCAGGAAACGGGTTCTGGACTGGAGGGCCCAGCCCAGCAGGGCACACCCTGCCTAGTGCCCCCTGGGAGCCGCTACTGTGAAATGCCTTCAAGGAGCCTCTCTGAGGTGAGGCGCCGGACTTCTCACCAAGGCTGACACCAAATACAGTAGCTAGGACAGCAGATCCTTACACAGCCGGAGGAGCCCTCTCTCCAGGGTGGGTCTGTACTTGGCTGGGAAGCAGCGATGCCGCAGGCCAGTTAGTATCAGAAAAACAATTCCCGAAACAATGAAGTAAGGGAAAGAACATAAATAGAGAAAAGAACCCAAAATGTGGGGTCAGAAAGGCCAGGTGTGAACCCTGGTCTGCACTCACTTGCCGTGTGGCCTTGGACCAGGGACTACAACAGAGCTAGTGCCCCACAGAGACAGACGAGAGAGCCGTGGGGCAGGAACCAGAGCCCGCGACAGAGCCAGGACCACAGCCGTTCAGAGGCGACTGGGGCTGGAGTCAGTGCTGGGGGCGGTGCAAACGATGGGCACTCTGCCTGAGGGAAGCCTCACAGCTGCTCCGCCCCCTCTCCTTGCTCTTTCTGGTCCCCTCTCCCCGCAGCTCCCTCACACACAAGCCTGCAGGACAATGCCTCACGGCCCCTACGCGCGATGACATGGAACAAAGACACAGCCTCTTGGCACACAAAGGGACGCACAGGACTGTGGAAGGAGGGGGAGGAAGGAGGACAGAGGAAGGGCAGGGAGGAGAGGCCCAGCCAGCCTGAGGAGGGACGCTCTGCCAGGCAGCAAGTCTCTCCCAAGGGCAGTCCCCTCCGGAGGCAGGCGGACAGCAGGCCGGCCAGCTGTCGCTGACAGGACAATGTGCTATCTGCTCCCAGGCCCGGAGCGGAGCCTGACGTGGGTCATGTGTCCACAGTCCTCTTTCAAGAGGCAGCTGGGGCAACTGAACCACTCGCCTTGCGGTGACCTGTGCCCCAGCCCACAGTTCCCCCGTCAATGGCTGAAATGAGCTCAGAAAGGAAGGAAGGCCACTGGCTCTCAAGAAAAGGTTCTGTCTCCAGCTGGGATCTCCACCTCTCCTGCCTCACCCAGGACTGATGGTGGACGATGGGGACAGCAATGGAGTGGGGACACATGACTCCTGAAGAGACTGAGGGGTGGTGACAGCGCCCACCTGCTGGGGCCCACTCCTCCCTTCGCCCCGATGCCTCCCTCGCTACCTTCACGGCACCTCCCGCAGGCAGGTGGCCCACGTTATCCAGGGATCCCACCTTCGCCTGGGCCTTCTCCTTGAAGTTCAACTTCTGACTTTCAATTTTGACGTCTCCTCCACCTGGAACCAAGAAGGCATCAGTCTAAGGTGGCAATAAGGTGGCAGAGAAATACCCCTGCATGCAAAACAGAAGCCCCAGCTTAGCCCAGGCTGGCTACGTGCCAAGGTCGAAATGGGGAAACTGTGACCTGCTCCCAGCGCTCTGAGGGCAGACTAGGACTCTGAGTGAACAGGGCTGCTGCTCTCCAAGTCTGGCTGAGACCACGTCTCCATCTGGCCAGAGGGACAGCTCCCTAGAGAGGTCACCCTCACAGGACTGCAGCCCGCAGCCACACAGCTGCTGACCAGGCTGGGCAGGCCCGGAGCCCGGAGCCCGGAGCCCGGAGCACAGCCTGCAGGGCCCCTCTACGGGTGTCAGGTGCCGTCTGCTTCTACTTCTCTGGGCAGGTGACAGCTCCCTCTCACGGGCTGGGCTGGGTAGGATGCCCGTCTCCTTTCAGCCCCATGCACTGATGCTGGAAAAAAGAAGCGACTTGTTCAAAGTACACTACCAAGGTAGTGACTGAGAGACAGGAGGGAAATACAGGCTGTCTCAGCCGTTCCACCGAATCACACTGTAGTGACAGGAAGGAAGGGCCAAGTGCCTGGGGCCCATGAGTGAGGAAAGGCTGGGCCAGCACCAGGACCCAGAGAACCTTGAGTAGGTTGTGAGGGGAGGGGCCTGTACACAAGCCCAATGTTCAGAGCTCACGGGCCACAGGGTGGCCACGGGATCCAGGGCTGGCCTACGGAGCTGGGAGCATGGTCCCGTCCGAGCCTGTCTCAGCTTCTTCCACGTCCTCTCAGCTCACAGCAAAAACCTCAACACCTGGCTTCTTGCCAAATCTCCAGCAAAAACTGGGCCTCCAGACCTCAGTGTCACTAGGGAAGGAGGCATCTCACAGGAGTGGATTTTCCAAATAAAAGGGGAAAGAATAGTTAAGGGCTGAACTGCTTCCACCGTTTCAAATAGAACATGCTCTAAAATGGATGCCAGTTTGCTGACAGGGAAGGGGTCCTCTCAGCCTTCACCTTAACCAATCCATGGTGACTGACAGACACCATACCGCCAGCCAGGATGCCAGTTGCTGCAGAGGGACTCACCTCCTCAGATCTGGACCTCCCACAGCGGGTGGCTGACAGCGGCAGAGCAGGGACACTGCTCCTGGCCCCGCCCCCCAGAACGCACCTCTCCCCCGGCGCACGGACCGTACCAGGCACACAGCACATCCTCAGCAGAGGCCCGTGCTCCTCCTCCCACTGACCGCTTAGTGCCGCGATTCCCACAGCCGGCCAGGGACTGAGGGCGCGTCCTGAGTGGGGACAACCCCAGAAGTCTTCATGGAATGACAAGGTCATAAAGGGCAAACCCAGTTGGTGAGGCATCCCAGGGCAAGAGAGGCACCACTCACCAGGCTTGTGCTTGATGTTGGCCTTGGACCCACACTTGGAGGAGACCTTCGAGATGTCCACCTTCTTGTTCTGAATCTGAACCTGAGAAGAAAATAACAAAAATATTGCCTCAGAGGGAGAATACTGTCAAGGCCAAAACCACACTCCCTTTATAATCCTCTTAACAAAGTTCACGTTTGTTCTCTCCCTCTGTAAGCCCCTTAGTGTGTTCAAGGTCAGGGCCACTTCCCAAAGTGCTTAAAAGAGCCCTGATCCCTCCTGGCCTCTGTGCAGCTTCTGACCCCTCTTCAGCCAGACCAAGCCAATGCTTCTATACACACGCAGGCCCGTCCGTCCCTGTCCTTAGCCCTGCAGCCACCAGACAGCTTTTCTCCCATTTTTCTCTCCTAAATTCAACTCTCCTAAAATGCCCCTTCTGTTCTTCCCCAAATCTTACCCACCGACTCCCTGCCCAGAGATAAAATGAAATAACGTTCTGGCATATTTCCTTCCAGTTTTTTCAACGAATTTCCCCCTCAGGACGGAAAGCACAGATATCTATCTATCCACCTATAGATATACTATTAGGTCAGACAGCCAACAGACTCTGATCATTACCTTCCGTGCGGGAGCCTTAGAAAAACATCCTGGTACCAAGCCTGATTGCATGTCTTTAAATGAGGAAAGAACATTTCTAGACAGGAGTTCCCACTAGGTTCCTAGGTGGGATCCGGGGTTCCTGAAGGCCCGGCCTCCCACCACCCTCCCCCTCACGCGGCGGCCCTGAGCCCCGGCAGCGCCGTCCGTCGCGGCTTCTGTGGGCTTCCACCACAACGCCATTACACGGCTCCCTTGCAGGACCTTGCCTTCCTTTCTCCAGTGTCAAGAAACACGGTCTCGACTGTGTCAAGAGGACAGACTGGGGTCCGTCGTATGTCTGTATTCCCACCCACAGGCCAGGGCTGGCAGAGTGCGTCTCCCAGTTCGGCTGGCCTGGGCCATCCTCTTCCTGTAAATCCTTTCACATCATTTCATTTTAGCTTAAGGGAGAAGGCCTTTTAGCGTTCTGAGACCATCTCTAATCACTTTCTTCCCATCCACCCTGCTCACTTCATACTGTGCACACAGAAGTGAATTTCGAAGTATGGAAGAACCTTCACCTTGGCCATCTGAGTGCCGGTGGAAGGCTGACTGTCCTGGGCCGCCCTCACTCTTGCTTCTAAACTCTGCTCATGCTGTTCCCTAGCCCAGCAAGCCCACTGCATTCTCCTCTCTTCCTTCCACGCACAGCTCAAAGGCCACCTTCTCCAAAGCCTTCCCTGGCCCTAGCTTAACTCCACCTCTTCTTCACATTACCTCTGGGACTCGGACATCAGCAACCACTGGACATCAAACTTCATGCAGTCAACAACCGCGTACAGAGTACCTGCTACCATCCAACAGCCTCCGCTGTCTCGTCTTTGCAACAAGGCTGCACTTCTCCCTAAGCAGGGCCACTGGGAAGTGTTCTTTCCCAGCCAAAGATGTGGCAGCTGCTTATAACAAGCTCGTCTGCCCTGGCTGGTTTGGCTCAGCGGTAGGGCATTGGCCTACAGACTGGTGAGTCTCGGGTTCGGTTCCAGTCAAGGGCACGTACCTTGGCTGCAGTGCAGTCCCGGCCCTGGTTGGGGTCTTGCAGGAGGCAACCAGTCGATGTGTCTCTCTCACATTGGTGTTTCTCTCTCTCTCTCTCTCTCTCTACTCCTCCCTTTCACTCTATTGGAAAATAAATGGAAAAATGTCCTCAGTGAGGATTTAAAAAAAAAAGCAAAGAACAAGCTCATCTTGCCCTGTCCCCCAGACTGCCCGTGAAGAGTTAACAGGTTAGTTGCCAGGGCCAGGCGCTCACCCAGGTGGAGCCCACACCTTCCCTGGCAGGGTTCTGCCCTCAAAGCCTCTGCTTCTTTACCTCTGGCTTCGTCCTCAGTTAAATAGTTAATGAGGGAAAGTTTCGCTTCACAGATGTATTTCAGCCTATAAATGTAGGAGAAATGCACCCCTACTGAACTCGTGGGTCTAGGTGCTGGGCATCAACAGTTGATAGCATCACAAGAGAGAAATAACCAGAAGAATGAGACAATAGCTTCCTGGTAGAAATACCACCCTACCTATAAATGTCTCGGGAAAATGTGGTGGAAAAAAAATCAAGCCTGAATCAATATTAAAAAATGGCAGGATAAAGGAATATGTTAAATGGGGATATAATCAGAAGAATCCAGACTCTAGGACAAACCAGTTGGTTTCCTCATGAACAACATTACCACAAAAAACAGAACTGGACAAATTGTAGAGCAAAGGAAACCTCAGATTTAGAGACAAGAGACACATCCAACACAATCACAATTTATGGACTGTCCTGTATCCTGATTCAAATAAGCAAATCTGTACCACGTGTTTGTGGGATCTTTAATATATACACATGTTGTGCATGAAAAGTTCTTATCTGAAGGTATACACTGGAGTATTAGCAGATGAACACTTTAGCTAAGACTGGCTCCAAAATAATCAGGGTGGGCACATGGGATAAGATTGGCCACAAATAAATCAAGCTGGGTAAAAGGAACATCCAGCCCATTTCACTATTTTTTTCAACTTTTGTATATGTTTGAAAATTTCTATAATGAAAAGTTTTTGAAAGCCTCACTGCCTCTGAGCCCAGCTCTGCTTCCTCAGGCCAGGACGTGGCGGCTCCACCACCGCCCTGGCCTCCCCTGGCTCCTCACCTCCCCACATGACACGCTCCAGCTTCAGGGAGCCACGTGCTCCTTCGCTGGCCTAGGGCATGCGTTTCTCATGCGCCGAGGGCTGGCCCGCAGGTCCCCTCCCCAGTGGAGCGGGACAGCCAGCAGAAACCACGCCCCTCTCTTGCTCATCTTGGGGCACAACCAAGCCCGCATCCCCTGTACTGGCTATAGCTGTGTTCACACAAGTCGCCACTGGTGTGTGACACCCGGGGCTTAGTGTAGATATCTGTGCTACTGAAGTGACCCTGCCAATAGGTATGCAGACCTATTATATAGACATATCCCCCTCGTGACAGTGAAATGGAATTAAAAATGCTGCAGAATTTAAAGTTGGGATCAGCCATGAAAGTAGCTGCTGGTTCCCTCCCAACATTCTCCTGACTCTCGACCAGGGGTGTGTCTACGTGGGGACATAGTGAAGCACTGAGCAGGACCCTGCTCCCAGCCCTCCCCGGCAGGAATCCAAGATCTGCACGGGGAGGGCTGGGGTGGGCTGGGGTGGGCGATGGGCTCAGACAGCAGGGTGTTACGTCTGCCCGAGCTGCATGCTTACTTGATGGCTTTACAGAGGGGCTGAGGGAGGAGCAAGAGCACACCGCCCAGATGTTTGTCCTCGTGGTCCCACCTGGAAACAGTGCTCACCGGTGGGGTCTGAACACCCTGCTCTTTGCAGAAGTCTCCTGGAATGGGAGTGCTTTAAAAAAGCGCATTCCGCCCTGGCCGGTTTGGCTCAGCGGTTAGAGCATCAGCCCGCGGTCCGAGACAGTCCCAAGTTCAGTTCCCACTAAGGGCACGTACCTCGGTTGCAGTTTGTCCCCGGCCCAGGCTGGGGTCGTGTGGGTGGCAACCACTCGATGTGTCTCTCTCACATCGATGTTTCTCTCTCCCTTGCTCTCTCCCTCTCACTCTATAAATGCAATAAGAGTCCTCAGGTGAGGATTAAAAAAAAACAAAAAAAGTACGTTCCCCCACAGGAAAGGCTTGCTGATGTCACTTGTTGGCAGCGTGAAGACCATAGTAGGTGACAGATAAGTAATGATTCTTTTCTGAACTCTTACATTCTTTTGTGAACACACATAAAAGCATTTGTGTTATACACACACAAGCACCCCCAGTCCCCTCCAAATCCCTGTTCGCCTTCTATTGTTTTGTTTTTGTTTATGCTCAACTGAGGATATTTTTCCATTGACTTTTAGACAGAGTAGAAGGGAGGGACAGAGGGAGGAAGGGAGGGAGAGGGAGAGAGAGAGAGAGGAACTTTGATATGAGAGAGACACATCGATTGGTTGCCTCCCACATGACCCCAACCAGGGCCAGGGATCGAACCTGCAACCCAGGTACAAGCCCTTGACTGGGAATCAAACCCATGACCCTTTGGTCTACAGGCTGACACTCTAACTGCTGAGCCAAACCAGCCTGGGCTCACCTCTGTTTTTATCAGGCTAAGAGCCTGACAGGAAAAGTGAGGGCCAGTACCTACCGGGTACCCACAAGGGAATCTGTAACAGACACTGCCTTGAAGCATCACCCCCTTCAGCTGATCCCACACCAGGCTAGCTAATGTCTGGCCACTACTGTGCTGGCCAAAATACCCCACCTGAAGGCAAAGCCACAGTCCCTGCCCATGCCAGAGGAGCCACTTGTGGGAGACAGCCGGGAAGGAGATGCGGTAAGAGGGGCTATGTGGGGCAAGAAAGGGGTGCACTATGGCTGCATTCCTCACAACAGAACTGTAGGTGAGGGGTGTCTGTAGTCCATAGGCAGGGTGACATGACCACCAAGGGGGCAGGGGGTACACAGACTGAAAACAGAAAGGGTAAACAGAGCAGGACTCAGTTTAGTTCCAGACAGCATGAAGGAGGAATGGATGAACCCAGAGAGAGCGAGGCAGGATGGCTCTCTTTCTGGTGTTGGGACGGAGGCAGGTGGAGGAGGGGTGAGGGTAGGGGCTGCCCACGAAGGGCTGCAGAGTCCCAGTGGCCTGCGCACTGTCACAGGGACACATGGCAAACACACAGGGTGTTCTTTAAAAACTTATTGACAATGACACTTGGTCCTCTCTCTCCCTAGACCAGGACCTCCTAGTGAGCTGGAGTCACCACTGTCCCCAACACAGATCTTAGGCTGGCACAGAAGAGCAGCATGATAGAAAGGATGTCTAGCTGGAACAGGGAAAGGGACAGAAAAGAAGGGAAAGGGGAATAAAAAAGGAAAGAACTGCTGGCCAGCTTGGCTTAGCGATTAGAGCGTCGGCCTGCGAACCAAAGAGTTGCAGGTTTGATTCTGGTCAAGGGCTCGTAGCTGGGTTGCAGTTCGTCCCTGGCCCTGGTCAGGGTTGTATGGGAGGCAACCAATCGATGTGGCTCTCTTACATTGATGCTTCTCTCTCTCCCCCATTCCCACCCTGTCTGAAAATAAACAAAAAAATATATCTTCGGATGAGAATTAAAAAAAAAAAAAAAGGAAGAACTAGTACAGGAAAAAAATGAGGAAGAGAGAGTAGAAAGAGAAGAAAGTTGGGAAAGAAAAGGAGAAAGAACAGAAGAGGGAGAGCAGGAGAGTAAGAAAGAAGGGAAAAGCGGGAGGAGCAGGAGGAAATGTGTATTAACTCCCTGATTCCACAAGGATTCAAGGATGGGTGTGGGTTTGGGAGAATCGGGACCTCCGCCAGGCTCCTGGGGAGCACAGAGAGAGGCGTGTATTTCCAGGAGCAGACTTCAAGACAGGTGACAGGCCCACTGCTGACCAGCGCCCTCGAACCAGGTCTGACACAGCTGGAGGACAAGCTAGTCCCCGCCCCTCCCCAGAGCGGACAAGATGCTGAGTGCACAGCACTGGGGACGTGCACAACCCCGCAGCCTCACTGCACTAGGCCACGTCCTGCGGAGCGCCTGGGCCCGGCTGCTGCAGCCCTGTCGGTGTGGGCAGGTGGCCCCCTTCCCAGTGTGCCCCACGGTGGACTAGGCCTCAGATCCAGGGGTCCAGAGCTGATACTTACATTACCACCTCCAGGGACATGCTTAATATTGTCCTTGGAACCACACTTGGACTGAACATGGCTGTAGTTCAATTTTTTGGAGACTATCTGGACCTGGAGTGTTAGAGAACAGAAAACAACACAAAGGGAGAGGGCTGGTTAGAACTGACACAGGGCGGCAGTGAGTCCACATGTGAACACGATGACCAACAAAGAGTGTCGCTGAAACTGCCCCCACCTTCAGCAGAGCAGCTGTGGAAAGCACAGAGAAAAGACTTTGAAGGAGCAGGAAAGGGGTGAAAACGAACAAACACCACGAGGACAGAAGCAGATGCGGTACGAGTACTACGTGGTAGTCATCGCTGCTCTTTGGGGGCTGGCTGTGGTTTACAAGGCGAACAGCAGCCAGGCCCAGGTGTCCCCTCCAGCATGGCATGGATGCCTCCTGCCTGCTCTCTCCCTAAGATTTGGGGTGGCAGTATCCCATGGCTCATCCAGGCCAGTCCTCACTCAAGGGTGGCACTTCCCTTCAACCTGAAGCCTGCACCCAGACCCACTCTGGGAGGCGAAGGCTGCTGGGAGAGGCCCTGGGCAGCTGGCTCTCCAGGCACAGATCTGATATTAACGGCAAGGAAAGGATATACTCAGCTGTAAACACAGACCGTTAAGTCACTGGACCCGCTGTGCACAGTCCTGGACACCAGGGGGAGCGCAGGCTGCAGGCTGCAGTCTCAGCAGCCTCCACACATAGCCCATTTGTCTCAGGGCTCCAGAAAGCACAGCACAATTGACGTTTAGGTGGAGACTCAAGGCTAAAATGCCATCTTCAATCTTCCAGATGCCCAATCCTGTACCCTGGGAGTTTTGTGTGCAGAACAGACAGGCAGGGTTGCAATGATGCGCGATCCAGGGGCACAGCACATGGTACTCCTCTGGAATGTAGCCACACAAAGGCCCAGGCTCTAAGGGCTGAAACAGAATTCTTCTGGAGCCTTCTCAAGAAGGAACAGTTGCCAGCTTCCTTCCTTCCTCCCCTTCAGAGTCCTATGCAAATGACGCAGCTCCCAAATTGAAGAGTTCTCCATAGAGAATTCACCCTGAGAAAGTCTAACCTAAATACCTCACCATTTCTTGCCTCCTTTACAAAACACTTCCTAATAAACCCTGGTCTGAGCCAGAGACTGCAGGACCTCGAGGAGTTACCCAGGAGCCAACATGCAATCTTCACCTCGTTGACTGCACAAGTGCCTTGGGCTGAGAGCCATCCTGGTTCTCAAAGACTGGAGCTCAGGCCTCCCTGGCATCCCTTGGCCCACAGCATGGGAGGGTGTGGTTCTCAGGTGAGGGCAAAGGGAAAGAACCTATAAGGTCAGTTTACCTCGGCCCTCTAGCTGGGTGGGTTTCCATTGCAATGAGCATCCCAACTTTCTGTTAAGAGGTAACTTGGGGCGCCAGGACAAATGAAGCCATCCCCATACCCAGCAGTGTTATGAGAGGAGCTTCTAGTTAAACTTAAAGCACAAGGTTTCCAGGGTTCCAGAAGGTTACCAGTGCCAGGTGTTCCTGAGGAAGAACATGGGTGCTCTGAGCGTGCGTGTATGTGCACGCATATGTGTGCACAGTGGGTGGGTTTCAGATCCAGGTCAGTGTGTGAAGGAAGTGACTGCAAGTTCTGGATCCATTTAATCCAGCTGAATAAATAGTCCCCAGAGGACTAATGGGCTCCCAACTGTTAACTTTTAGGGCTGATACAAAAAATTTCTGATGGCAGAATCATCAAACACCGAGGAAGGCACACGGAGAAGAGAAGAAACGAGTTTAAGGACAGGAAAAAAGTGCAGCAGGAGGGAGTGTCTCAGGCTGGAGAAACAGTTTCCACCTTTACCTTCCAGAGGTAACCTAAGTGAAACTCACTTTCCCAGCAGGCGGTCTCTGTGCACTTGCACCTGGGCCAGCTGTTTTAGTGACCGCATTAAGTTCAGGTTTTCGAGCTGCAGCAGCTGCCTCTGTTTTTTCCTCTACTTTGGCCTAGATGGAGATAAAGGGAGGGCAAATTTCAAACCAAGAGGACGAGAGCCCAAATGCCAGGAGGGAAAGACGGCTGGGGACTCGAATCCAGGCCAGGCCACCAGGCAGAAGCAGGTCACCCTTGCTCCTGGGGAAAAACACCCATTTCCCAGGGAAGACCAAGCCAGAGGGAGGAGCTACAGACCAAAGCTTGAGCCCTGAGAAAGAGGACAGAGGGTATTCACAGAGAAAAGGTAGGAAGGAGGGCCCAATTAGCGATTCTGCTCTGAGTGTGGGTTGTGGTTATTGTTTTCCAATCACAATGTCCTCCCACTCATATATTCTACAAGCCCCAAGCAAATAGCCATGGTCACAGGGAGCCACTACTGAATCTGTGAGAGTCTCACCCTTCAGGTAGTGGGAATAGAAAATAACAATCATCAGACTGAGTTACTCAACACCCCAAGACCTCCTGCACCATGAAAGCCTAAAAAGTGCACAGAATGGGGAGACGGGCCAGTTGCACCCCGAGGCCTGGCTAGGTACGCCAGAACCATGGTCTCAGGCCCTCACCCCAGACCAATCCTGTTTGCCACCAGTGTCTTCCAACTGTATCAGGCAGGATTCTGCCTCATTCTGGACCTTTAAATTTTTAACAGCTCTGGATTGAAGCCATTTTAGTATCCTGCCGAGTGGGTGGTGGTGGTGAAGAGCTAGAGGTGACGTAGGAGATGACAAAGTTACTGCTACGGGGACTGGACTGGACTTTTGCCACCACCTTTTTCACATACCAAGTCCCCATAGTTGCTAACAGTTAAATAATTCCAGGATGGATGCAAACAGGAAGGCCCACCAGGCTTTCTCCATCTACAGCAGTCTTTCGTTTAGGGCAGCAACAGGCCACCAGGACACCCTCATCCTCTTCTCACACAGACTCTCAATGCACCTGCCTCTCCTGTCGCTCACAGTGCAGGAGTGAGAACCATGACAGACCAGGTTTATGTCCACTGTTTTTTCCCCTTCATAGTCCCAGAGGTCTCTTCTGTTCATTTTGTAAAGTATAAGAACCCTTTTGCCTCCAAACAAAAATATAAGTCTAAACTCCAAAATACAGAACAGGAGCCCCACTGACTCCAGTGAGAAGGAAAGGCCCAGAGCTTGGCCCACCCCTTCCCAGCCGCCAGGTCCACTTCCTGACTGCCTCTCTCTGGTGCCCCCAGGGTCGATGTGAGGACATGCTTCGGGAACAGTGATTGGACGTGGCAGGAAAAGAAGCAGGGGCCAGCATGCAGAGGACCCCAAGGTCCCTGGACCCACCCGGCCTCCTCCAGGCTGATGCTTGATGTTTTCCGTGGAGCCAACCTTGGCGCGGACATTCTTCAGATCAGGGGTGGAAGCATTGGTAGCAGGGCGGCTCAGCCTGGGGGCAGAGGAGCTGGGCCTGACTGACGTGGGCTTCTTGTCCATGGCAAGAGTCCCGGAGGGCCGGGGAGGTGTGGGTATGGTCTTGACTCGACTGGGAGCCACCCCTGCCGGAGGAGCTACCCCAGGGACAGTGGTATTTTTCTTCACGGTACTGCTGGAGGTGCTCTTTGATCGACTCAAGTCAGCTGCAAAGGCAGGAGTGAGAGACAATCAGCGTTCAGGGGGAGAGAGCATATGGGAGCCTTAAAGCCATGGAAGAGGTGGGGGTTTAAGTTAGGGTTCCACAGTGTGGGGGATGGGGTATTACCTGGTACAGACTTTGTAACCGTCTTCTTGACCTCTGCAGGTTTTCCCTCAGTCTTGATGCCTGCACAAAAATACACCTTTTATTTATTTATTTATTTATTTATTTATTTATTTATTTCCTCACCTGAGGACATTTCTCCATTTTTTGTTCAGATAGAGTGGGAATGAGAGAGAGAGAAACATCGACGTGAAAGGGACACATCGAGTGGCTGCCACCCACACGACCAAACCAGGGCCGGGGACAAACTGCAACCGATGTACGTGCCCTTAGCGGGAACTGAACCCGGGTCTCTCTGGACCGCAGGCCGACGCTCCAACCACTGAGCCAAACCGGCCAGGGCCAGAAATACACTTTTTAATATAACCTTTAACAAACTGACCTATTGAATGGTTTATCGAATGCTGAGATTCATTCATTCATTCAGCAACTACTGAATGTGCCCTCTGAGCTAAGGGCTGTGCTGGTCTCTGGGGATAAAGCAGTACATTAGGCAGCCACATAAGACCAGGCCCTATGCAGGGCACAAGGCCAAGCATTGCGTCTTCTTTTCCAGTCTTGACAATGCTTTCCCCATGGCCTTAGAGATGGGTGATCAAGACACGCCTATGGAAGTGAATGGCCTATTATCGTGTAAGCCTGTGAACGACAATGTTCTGGATGCTGTGGAGACACTAAGAAAGGAATAATAAATTCTACCTAGAATTCATGACAGTCTCCTTCATTCAAGGCTTTTCTGAATATACCCTACCTGCTAACCTCACATGGAGACCAAGGCTGCCACTTACCAACATTAAGGACTGATGCACAAGCCGATCTTCACAACTTTATGTGATGCTGGCTGGAGCTAGGTCTAGGGCAAAGTCAAGTCTCCACTGGTTCCCAGGGGGACAAGGGTGACAGTACTCACCAGCAGGCCTCTTGGACAAGGGGATAGGGGTGCTCCTACTGCTTGACCCAGCTGGGGCGACAGAGGCAGCTGCGGTGGCTTTTGGAACAGTTTGGGTGCTCTTGGAGCCAGGCCTGAAGGCTGGGGCAGAAGCTGGCTTGGATGGCGTGGTCTTCCTCTCAGGAATCTTTGCCTCTGCAACAAGCTTATAACAGGAAAGTGGCAATAAGAACTGCGGGTCAGCAATAGCCCCAGAAAGTCAGGCCAAAAGACTTCCACAGATGCACACACCAGAAAACAGGTACTGCAGGTCTGGCAGCTACTAATAGGAAACTATATATCCTCCAAAGAACACAAGAAACTGGCCCTGTAGGATATTGTGTGATTTGGAGTCAGGAAACAGTGAGCCAAACAACCTCAAGCCAACCTGAACTAATAAGAATGAATGGCCCTGAAAAGCACACCTCACCACACGTGTGCCTCAGGCTCTACTGCACTAAATATTGATGTATTTAGTGTATTACATACTTCACCAAAGATGAACAAATACATAAACAGAACAAAAATTTTAAATGATGTCCAATCAAATTCTTTTGGCTTAGATGTACCTGGCGGGTGTTGAACTGGCTAGAGCTACAGACAGAAAGAGCACTGGCTCGATCAAGCAGGTCCATGCCTGAGCTCCACCTCAATCTTGCCCCCAGCTGAGTGTGTTCTTGGGCAGATCACTGAGCCACTCTGGTCTTTAGTTCCTCATCTGCCTAAAGGAGGATAGAACAGAGGAGCTCTAAGGCAGCTTTGATAACATGTAATGTTAGGGACAAGAGGATGAGAAGTCTCAGAGCCCAGAGACCATGAGGGCAGGCGGAGTGTGCAGGCCTGACCAACAGAGAGAATGAGAAGCACAGATGTCAGAGCTATGACGGAAAGCAAAGAGAAGTTGCTCAAGCATAGATGCATCTGGGTCACTGTTCCATGGAGCCTGGGCATGTTGTCACTAGCAAAGAAGCGAAGGAATCAATTTAGCCTGGATTCTAAGGAACAGGGGATGAACACACTATTTTGAAAAGCAAATGTACCATGTTATTCAAAGAGAGTAAGCCAAACCACAGATACAGTGGATTCAGATCTTTCTTTAGCTCCAAGAGAAATGGCCACTTAGAGGGCAATATGTTGGCGGAGACAAACAGGATTTGCATAAATGGAAAATCAGCTAAGGAGGTGTGCAGAAATTCAGAGCTGGCATCCAATTAAATAAAATATAATCCTGCAAATGCAGGGTAATGTCCATTTCTACAAAGGAAGTTCCTAAGTATACATGAAGAAACCGAAGGTTGGAATCAGAAGAATTGGTTCAGCTACCAACTCTGTAGCTGCAGAGGGACTCCCTCTCTGTTTGCTCTAAGAATTTTGGGACAAACCAGATGCTCCCTGAGGTCTCCTTCAAATTATCCATACTATGACTATAATTCAAAAAATCCAGTGGGTCTTAATATTTTACTAGTAACAATAATAACAATACAAGAAGTTAGAAAAAAGGTAACAGAGAGACAGAATTCTCCAAAGGATGTGACATTCTTTAATGTCTGGCTCTTGGCCTCAGCAAACTGCAGAGCCAGCCTGCTCTCCTAACTGGAGTTGCTCTGTTTTGCAATGTATATTTTTCTCCTTTGTAGATTCATAGATCTACATATTTTCTAATACATTTTCTCCCCTTTGTTTGCTTCTAGAAATCTATCAGAATAAGGATAAAAAAATAAAAATAAATTTCATTAGACTTTAGTTTTTATCAATCTCAAAATGTTTCCATCTGTTTTCTAATCTAAAAGGCAAAGAATAGTAATAATTGTCACAAAGGTCATCTCTTCAGGCTAGCTGTAACTTGAATGCTGTTTAAGAACTGGATGGCTTGCTCAGCCGGTGCGGCTCAGTGGACAAAGCATCATCCCATGGACTGAGAGGTCCCAGTTCAATTCCCAGTCAGGGCACATGCTGGGGTTTCAGGCTTGATCCCCAATGGGGGTATGCGGGAGGCAGCCGATCGGTCTCTCTCTCTCTCTCTCTCAAAAATCAATAAAAATATACTTAAAAACAAACAAACAAACAAATAAATAAATAACTGGATGGCTTGCCCTGGCCGGTTTGGCTCAGCAGTTTAAAAAAAAAGAGCGTTGGCCCATGGACCAAAGAGTCGCAGGTTTGATTCTGGTCAAGGGCATATGCCTCAGTTGCGGTTCGGTCAGGGGTGTGTGGGAAGCAACCAATTGATGTGATAGGATTTCTCATTTTGGCCAGGATTCCAACCTAGATTATAATTCTGAGGTTCCACCAGTTTTCTTTTCTTTTTTATCCTCACTCGAGGACATTTTTGCATTTATCTGCAGATAGAACAGGAGGGAGAGAGGGGGGAAGAGAGAGAGAAACATCGATGTATGAGAGACATATCGAGTGGTTGCAACCCCCACGACCCTAACTGGGGCCGGGGACAAACTGCAACCGAGGTACATGCCCTTAGTGGGAACCGAACGCAGGACTCTCTGGTCCATAGATGGATGCTCTAACCGCTGAGCCAAACTGGCCAGGGCTCCACCAGCTTTCTTTACAAGATTAGATTAAAACACTTAACAATTTAACATGAAGACTATTTCCCAACATGAATTTAAAGAAGACATCAGGCTGATCTAAAGGCCCTTCTCAAATAAAACAAGATGTTAAGGCAAGCAGACTCCACCCGCCCTCTCCTCATCCCATTGACTCCGTGATGTTAATGCTGTTCCGAATTGACCATTTTCTGGGCAATAATGTGTGGGTGACCTGGAAAACTGAAAAACTTCAGAAGCAGCCCAGTGAAAGGTGGCCAAATGCCAATAGCAAAGTAAGTTATCACATGATGCTAGGACCTGCTGAGACAAGCTGGAAGAACTTACCACAAAAGTAATGAGTCAAATTCACTTTTCTGGGATGATTAAAGAGAAGGACAAAGAAGGGAATTTGATGTAGGAATGACAACAAAAACGAATATCCGATTAGTATGTGGAGAAACGGAAACTGGTTAGCAAGTATTTAAACAGGTGAAGGTAAAAGGTATACGAGGCCTTCAAGTGGTATAGCTGCATCCTGGGCCCCCAAACCGATGATTAAGCCACCTTTGCCTGGCCTCTCCCCAGCCCCACAGCCTGGTTCCATCGTCTGGCAGCAACAGGATCCTATCTACCTGATACTCGGAGGGGAAACCGTTCCCTGCACAGTGCTGGGGTAAGCACTTACCTTGGGTTTCACGTCTTTTGAAGGTGAGATGGAAGGCCTGGCAGTGGTGGCAGCAGGGCGTTTGGGTGGGACAGCTGGTACTGAGCCTGAAGCAAGGCTCATGGGTTTTTTAGTCGACCCACCAAAGGTGGTGGGAGCTGGCTGCTTAGGGAGAGAAGTGGGCTGTGTTTTGGCTTTCGATGTTGAAGTCTTTGCAGGTTGAGTTGTGGCCAAAGGCTTTAAGTTGATTTGTTGTTGTTTTGTTTTGTTTAAAGGCCAACATTAAACACACAGACAAGAATAAAAACAAAATTTAAAAAAAGTATAAATCGCACAATTCAAAGCAAAATTATAAGCAATGAGGAGAGATGCAACTGAAAATTAGCATTCCTTTTTTTCTGAGCTCAGTTAATAGTTGAAAGGCACAAGGATAGAGAAAAAGAAAATTTGGAACTGTTTCTTAATAACAGTGTCACAAATTTCAACAGTTTGACACCTGGCAATTTAAATTCAGTAATAGATTTATTTACTTATTTTTTAGTAATAGCTTTAAACAATTAACTAACTTATGGTGGCTATAATATTATGAAACATTTACCAGCAAATGATTCACATGACCAATTAATTACCTGTACCTCGATGAGGCAACATCACATCCTGTTTTAAGACCACATTTGAACTTTGCAATTAATAGCAGTAAGTGTCTGAAGCTATGATTAGCCTTAAAAAATTGTGTTCCCTTTTATGAATGCAGGTTTTGGAATCTATTTTGAAAGAGTTCTGTAATTCCTTTTGCTGTTGTTGAGAAGCAGGAACAACCTCTACAGAATATTTCTACAGATATTTAAGATGATAGGGTCAAAGACAGCAATATTAATGTTTGAGTTAAGCCATTATGGCAAAATGGGAATAGAAAATATTTTTTAAGCACATCTAAACACCCGAGAAAGGACTAATAACTCAGAAAAAAAGAAATTTCACTCACAACTCAAGCAACAATAGCTGAAGATACCATTTAAAAAATTACAGCGGTAAAAGATAACCCACCATTCTGGCAACTACCTTTGTTTTCTTCTCTGGGCTTGGTGGGAGCTCCTTGTTTGGAGGGGCGGTGATGTCATTTCCGGTCACACTCACAGTAGGTTGTCCTTCTTCTGGCTTGGATATTCCTAAGGTGGGGTAAGTTATGCTAAGCAAATGTTTTTCACACTCATTTCAGAAATGCAAGTCTTAGCAGAGACAGACAACAGTAACTAGCACTTCATTCTCAAAAAAGTCCACAGGGCTGTGCCGCTGAAATGTGGACAAGACTCCCAAGTTCCCCTCATTGTGACGGAGGAGAGTTTTAGATTCCAGAGATTCAGGCAGCCTGTCCCTGTGGAGAAGCAATCTAAGTGGAATTTGCACAAATGATCAAGGGAAGGAAATGGCCCTTCAAGTTTGGTTTCCCTTCCCTGGAGACAGACAGGCAAAGGAGTTCTGTCACCCAACTACTAACTCCCAGAGCACACAGGGGACAAAAACCTCTTCTACTAGAGTTTATCTCTTGAAATAAAGGTTGCAGAGAGATGAGATAAGTGCCAGAAGATCATCCAATGTCCTCCTCTTACTTCCTCTCCCTGTAAAGCACCACTTTATGGAGGATGTGAGATTAACTTGATTGAATTCTAGCAGTGACCCAGATTTCCAACAAGGCCGAGGAGACCCATGAAATCAGACCCAGGGACAGAAATAAAGTCTATTGCCTAAAGCAGCATCACTGCAGGGAAGTTACTTCAGTTTTCAATAGGACTACACCTGAAAGCATTAAAATACCATTACATTTTTAACCCTGGCATAGAAAAAAACGTTCTAATTGGCACAAAATTCAGAAGCCACAAAAGTAATTTTGACTACAGAAAAATGAAAACCTTCAATGTGTCCAGAATAACAAAAAGTCAAAAGGCAAATGATAAATAGGAAAAAAAAATATCTGAACCTCACATCAAAGACAAAGAATGTATTATATAAATTACTCCTATAAATCAGTAATTCCCATAAAAGCCAACAATCCAGTTGGAAAAATGCCCAAAAGAATATGAACACAGTTTACAGAAATAAAAATCACTTTTGAAAATAAGAAAAGATGTTGAATCTTTAAGAAAAATTAAAACTACATAGAGATGCTATTTTTAACCTAACATATGGTCAAAAGTTCTAAAATTTGAAAGTAACTATTGGGGACAATATGAAGACATTACACTGCTGATAAGTATATGAAATGGTACAACTCATATGTAGGACAGTCTCGCAGAATCTAAAATTACAAATGTAGATAAATTCTAATCCAAAAATCCAATATCTAGAAATTTATCTTAAGAGATACATTCACACCCCTGCAAAACAGCAAACATCAAGTCTTTTGTCAGAGCACTATTATTAAAAGCAAAGGCCTAAACAATACAGACATCCGTCCATTAATAGGAAACTTGTTATATCAATGTAATCTCTGAATCTGAAAAAGTAAAGCACCAAAAAATTCTTTCATGACTGATATAGAACAATCACTGAGAAAAAAAGAAAAAGCAAGGCACAGAACAGTATATATAACATAAAACCATTTGTCTAGAAAAGAATGGAAGAAAATACACCTGTGCATGCATTTAAAAAGTCTTTGGAATAATCATGATGAAACAAAATGGTAACTTAATTTTAAGGGGGGGGGGGGCACAAAACTAGGGAGGATAGGAGACTTTAAACATTTTTTGTTTTAAAATAATTATAGGTTCACAGGAAGTTGCAAGAAAATGTACAGGGAGAGCCCTGGCCAGTATGGCTCAGTTGGTTGAGCAATGTCCCATGCACCAAGAGGTAGCTGGTTCGATTCCTGGTCAGGGCATACGCCTGGGTTCTGAGCTCAATTCCAATTAGGGGGCATGCAGGAGGCAGCCAATGGATGCCCCCCCCCCCACTTCCTGTCTCTCTAAAGTCAATAAAAACATATAAAATAAATACAGACACACACACGACAATGTACAGGGAGATCCCATGTACCCTTCAGGCAGCTGTCCCCCAGTGCTGACATCTTGCATAACTACAGTGCATTACCTGATACAACCCACAGAGCTTATTCAGAGTTTTCGTTTTATATGGATTCATTTGTGTGTGCACGCACACACCTGCACATATCTGCAGTTCTATGCAATTTTATCAGTTTCATGTAACCACTACTAACAATCAAGACACGTAACTGTTGCAATACAGGATCCCTCACATTTCCTTTTATAGCCACCCCACCCCACTTCCTAATCCCTAAATTTCTGGCAACTACTAATCTGTTCTCCATCTCTATAATATTATTTCAAGAATATCAGATAAACGGAACACACAGCGTGCTACCTTGTGTGTCTCACTTCCCTCTCTCCTAGCATAATGCCTGTGGGATACATCAGTGATGCATGTAGTACTAGTTAGTTCCTTCTTATTGCTGAGTGGTATTCCATGGTATGACTGTACCACAGTTTAACCAGGCACTTACTGAAGGACATTCTGGTTGTTTCCAGTTGTTGGCTGTTGTGAACAAAGCTACTATAAATATGTAAAGGATTTTGAGTAAAATAGGTTCATTGTTAGTGTATGGAAATGCAATTAATTCTTATATGCTGATAGTGTATCCTGTGGCCTTGCTGAAACACACTTATTAGTTCTAGTTTTTTGAGTGTATTCTTGAAATTTCCTACATAGACAATCATGTCATCTGAAAATAGGCAGACTTATTTCTTCCTTTCTAATCTATATGTTTTTTATTTCCTGTTCTTGGTTTACTGTGCTAACCAGAACTGCCAGTACTACGTTAAATGAGTGGTGAGCATCTTTGCCTTGTTTCTGACCTTCAGGTGAAAGCACCGTCTTTCACTACTAACTATGCTCCCTCTTGTTTGATGAGAGTTGTATCGTGCATGAGTGTTGAATTTTGTTGAATACATTTTCTGTGTTTAAGATTTTTCTTCTTTAGACTGTTGATATGGTGGATTATATTGGTTGTTTTTTTTATTATTGAACCAGCCTTGCATAACTGGAATAAATGCCACTTGGCTTCATACATTGCTTGATGTGGTCTGTTAATACTTTTATTAAAAATTTTTACATCAAAGTTCATGAGGGATATGAGTTTGTAGCTTGTTTTGTACTGTATTTATTTGGGGTATCAGGATAACATGGACCACTTAAAGTATTCCCTCTGATATTTTTATGTGTAAAATTAGTGTTAATTATTCTTTAAATGTATGGTAAAAATTTCCAGTGAAACCATCAAAAGATTTCTAATTAAAAATTAATTTCATTAATGGTTATTCAAGTTATTTATTTCATATTGGTTTGAGTTGTAATTTGTGGTTTTCAAGGAATTGGTTCATTTCTTCTCAGATGCTGAATTTGTGAGTATAAAGGTGCTCCTAGCATTCCCTATTATCATCTTAATGGCTGGACTGGTATCTTCCCTGTTCCTGTTATTGGTGGTTTGTGTCTTCTCTCATTTTATCTTTGTCAGTTTTGTTAAAGGTTTATCAATTGTATTGGTATATATACATCCTCAGCCAAGGACATTTTTGCATTTATCTTCAGATAGAGCTGGAGGGAGAGGGGGGGGAAGAGAGAGAAACATTGATGTGAGAGAGACACATTTAGTGGTTGCCACCCACATGACCCCAACCAGGGCGGGGTACAAACTGCAACCGAGGTATGTGCCCCTAGCAAGAACTGAACCCAGGACTCTCCAGTCTATGGGCCAACGCTCTAACCGCTAAGCCAAACTGGCCAAGGCTGTATTGGTATATTTTTTTAAAAGAACCAACATTTGGTTTAATGAATTTTGTTTTCTTGTCTACAATTTCACTATTTCTATCCATAATTTCCATTTGGTAGTTTTTGTTTGTTTGTTTTTGTTAATCCTCTCTAGAAGAGATTTTTCCATTGATTTTTAGATAGAGTGGAAGCGAGGGAGAGAGAGACAGACAGAGAAACATCAATGTGAGAGAGCCACATGGATTGGTTGTCCCCCGCATGACCCTAACCGGGAAGGGGATTGAACCTGCAACCCAGGTACATGCCCTTGATCGGAAATCAAACCCATAACCCTTTAGTCAGAGGGCCGACTCTCCAATTGCTGAGCCTCACCAGTCAGAGCCATTTGGTACTTTTTTATAACATCTATTTCTTTGGTGAGATTTTCTAGTTTTTCATTTGTTTCAAGAGAATGCATAATAGCTTGTTGAAGGAATTTTACAATAGTGTTTTAAAATCCAGTTTTATACTTTAGCAGGCAATCACATTTAAACTTAGCAAGCAAGTTCTGGTATAGCTTCAACAATTTAGTTTCCGGAGCCCATGCCATATAATTCTGGCCTGCTGTGTTCTTCTAGCTCCAGGAAGCTCTCAGTCAATCCATGCTGCTGCTGCCTACAAGGGCTCAAGGCACCTCCTGGGCCACACGGTTTCACTAGGTGGGGGTTAAGTGATACCAAAAGCATGGAATGCAGAGTTTTTCCTGGCTTATTCTCTGGCTACCCCGTGCTGCCAGGCTTCTTGTTAGATCTCTACTGGTGCTGCTGGGAGTGGGAAGCAACTACTTAGCCTTATGCTGCCAGGGAAGGGTAAAGGGATAAACCTAGCTAAGTCTCTTTCTGCCCTGGGGCAGAGGCCTGAAGACACCAGGCCAACGGGTGCTGCTAGGAGCAGGAAGTACCTAACTTGGTCCACTTCTGCTACCAGGAAGAAGGCTGAAAGACACCAGGCCTATAGGTGCCACTGGTGCTATCACCTGGTAAGGATAGGGAATGAATGGGTCTCCCTGCCAGTGTGGGTGGGTCATACCACAGTGCTGCCAGGGGACCAGGCCTGCACCTGATGCTGGATGTGGAATAAACAACAGGTAGGTTCCTCGTGAGTTCTGCTGACATTGTACCTGCAGGAGGGTTGATCTAACTGCTGTTGCTGAACATGGGCAGGGAAATGGGTTTGTCATTAGGTCTTCTATTGGGCTTCCTTTTTCCTGGACTTTTGGCAAAAAAGAGCAGACTTTTCTTTTTTTTTTTTTTTTATCCTCACCCGAGGACATTTTTCGATATTTTGTTCAGATAGAGTGGGAGGGAGAGAGAGGAAGAGAGAGAGAGAGAGAGAAACATCGACGTGA